CTGATTCTTTGAAGTCACATAAATTTAAACAGCTAATTTTGTTAACCAATTACCAAAATATATACCCATATTAATATTTAAAGATTAAAATACACACACTAAAGCCAACTTTTGAATTATCCTCCTTTCTACCATGCTCCATTAATGCAAATAACTAAGAATGTATGCCCACAAGAGTCAATGGAGAGAGTGATGGATAAGAAGAGTCTTTAAGGTCTTAACCTGGATCTGCCTCTCAGTGGCCATGACTATGCAGGCAAATCATTTAACCTCTCTGGGCCTGACAATACTCAGATAAAATGAAGTGCTTATAAAAAGCTGCTGTAAGAAGCAAAAATCAAATGGGCGCTATAAATTAAATATGCTTTACAAATTGAAATGTGAAATACTTAAGTTGGTTATACTATAAAAGATAGACTGAAAAAGTATAATGCAACCAGCATCTATTTTGAAAAAATTATAAAGAAACAGAATGCTAAAATGGGCACAAGTTCATATTTCTAATGCAGTCCCACATTTCAGATGGACTTTAACAGTAAAGATAAACTTTTATGATAGGAGACCATAAAATCTTCATGCAATAACTACCTAGTTATATGACAATATTTAGTTACATATTACTATTTTATATAATTTGCACTTCTTATCAGTTAAGAAAATATGACTATAATAGAAAATCTGAACAAACCGAATACTATTACTCGAAAAGAACCAAAAAAAAGAACAAAACTAGCAAAGTACATTTACACATAAACAATTATAGTAAATATGCTGTTCATGATACCAATTACAAAATTTCCATGAAAAAGAACGATTCTAAATATGTGTCATTTTGCCTTTTTATTTTTACAATGTTATCATTAGATTACAATGTTAGGTAAACAGAAAAATAAAACAGTAAAACTATTTTAAATGTGTTGGAAATAAACAGATAAAAAGTAACATCAAAGTAAAATCAAATGGTTCAAATTTGATATTAATTTAGAAAATAAGGTAAAGATGTAAGGGTTAATATTATTATTACATCAAATACAAGCATTTATGTGCATACCACACATTACACATTTCAAAGCAGTTTACAAGCACCCTCTAACTGGATTCACAGAAAAACATATTTAGAGCTAAATTGACAGATAAACTGTTCTGTGCCTCAAGTGCCTTAAATCATGAGGCTAATAAGCAAGAAACAGTGAAAAGCCAGGCCTTGAAATTGTTTCTCCTAAATCATGATTCAACTCTGTTTTGACTTCTCCTTTCAGCCTCTCTAACGACAAGCACTGTAACCGTGAACTCACACTCCTATCCTCCGGGGTTGGCTCAGCAAAGGTAAAAAGACTCTTACGACCCGTCATAACGAAACCATGAGCCAGACGAGAAGTCAGGGCACCAGGGCGTCTCAGGAGATTAGTGTGTTGACAGAGCAAGCGCCAGGTCCAAAGTGCAGGTGCTACCTGCGACTAATAGATACTGACAGGCATACATCATATTATTTTTCTGGGATTCGGTTTCTACGAACACTGGCAAAAGCTCTGAGAAAGAAGGCCATGTGAAAAATTTTATTCTTATAAAAACTCCTAATATTTTAGTCAGTAACCTTACAACTACAGATGACACTTGCAGATCCATTTTAGAATGCCAAAGTCAACTCTAAGGAAATGAAATTCTTTTCTATATCCCTAAATAGCAGATAATTCAATGAAGTTTTAGAATTATGTTTTAAGTGTTACTTAACTATACTCAAACATCTTAGTGAGTCTATAACTAACAAGCAAAGAAACAAACAGCAAAGAAAGATTCCAATTTTGCAGCTGGCATGTTATTAAGGCAAGTGTAAAATGCCAAGTGGAGGCGAACACCTCTAGTCTAACTAAAATTGAAGTTAATTGCTACATTTTCTTAAAAAGATATTAGTAAATCACTTAGATATACGATATACTGTTTCAATATAAGAAATTCAATGTTGCACTTTATTATATATACCTTATTTGCAAATATACTTTTTAAAAAACTCTTAAAAGGCTCTTATTTCACTGAGGAACAAAATTTGCTTGGTTTCATTTTTCTTTTAGTTTACCTAATAATACTTATTAAAAATGACATAACCACATGATGTTATCTACACCAAGGAAATATTTTTAAAAATCTAATTTCAAAAAAGCTGTCATAAATAAAACTACACACTATTAAGAAAATGACCCAGTATTTTTAGGTCCCTCCTAACATATGCAGATGAATCCAGACAAAAGAAAAATTTTTTCAATGTATCCAAAAGAAATATGAACCACCACGAAGGGGGGAGAGAAGAAGGTCTCATTAATAGAGCAAGTCTCACTAGTATTTAGAGGAAGACTTGGTTCCTTACTTTTGTATCATGAACTACAACAATAACATGCACTAAATGTACTTTAATAAGCCTCATATTCCACAACTCAGTTCTATTCTGCGATCTTAGACAACTACAGTACTTATATTTTTAAAAACAGGCAAATAAACTAAAGATAACTCTAGAGTCAAAGGATAAAAACTGAACACAATTTATGATAAATAAGAAAGCAGATTTCAAAGACAAAAAAATTGCTACAATCCAAACAAATCAAAACTTAAATACACAGAATTGGCAACACAAAGTGAAAGCTTTCTCCTGATCTGTACTCTGGTAGTCTGAATGATCCTAAAAAATTGTGGCAGAGAGTTTTAAAAACAAAATTTTCAATAAAAATAAACACACCCATACAACCTACAAACTTGAGGTAACTAAACTGGGTTGCAAAATAAAGATAAATTTAATGTTCAAACAAAATCTGAAAAGATAATTTGGATAAAAAATCCAAGTAAATACTGCACAAGTGCTCAACAGATACTCGTTACAGTGCTACAGCGAAAACTTAGGAACAGCCAAATGTTGGGACGGGCTACAGCTATTTGACTTTCATACACAGGGAACCAAGCAACCATTAGGAGCTAAGCCACCATTTTTTTCCTTCTTCTTCCTCTCCCCAAAGCCCCCCAGTATACAGCTGTATATTCTAGTTGTGAGTGCCTCTAGCTGTGCTATGTGGGACGCCACCTCAGCACAAGCCTGATGAGCAGTGCCATGTCCACGCCCAGGATCCAAAGCGGCGAAACCCCGGGCCGCTGAAGCAGAGCGTGTGAATTCAACCACTCGGCCACGGGGCCGGCCCCCAAGCTACCATTTTTAATGGCTGCATATTCATTCTTCCAAAAGTAACTTAAGTTATCTCTTCTTTTTTATATCATTATGTTCCTTTATAAACAACTGCATTAGACATCCTTACATATATATATCTTTGTACAAGAGACGTTAGTCCTCTTGTTTCCTTAGGATAAATACTTAGAAGTGTAATTTTTTATAATGAAACTGAGATCACGCTTTACAATGTTTTTCAAACAACTTTATAGGCATTTCTTAGTGATATTAAATATAAGAAAAAAGTCAAAATTTGTCTCTGGAAATTTAAGAATTCTCCCCTTTACTTTGTTAATATCCTATACTTAACACAAACACACAGTTAACTTATAACCTAAAGATCAGTATAAATTACTGTTGATAAAAGTGGGTGAAACCACTTATCACTACATAATCTCTACACTTCCATTTTAATGCTGTATTTCATAAAGCAATAACTCTGTCATAAAACTTTGTACTTTACGCAAGGGCCTTATCTAAAACACATGCATTACGTGTCCCTTCTTAGGCTTCAATCCGTGAAAATCCACTAGGCAGTATGAGCAACTGTAACACCAACCAATCATTCTGAACTTCGATATCAAGCGGGCTGAAGGCTTATTTAGCATGTTATTGGAAATTAAGCTGCATTAAGATTGCTAGGTAAGGAAGAAAGTGTTGCTGTCATTCCACTGTGTCCTGTGTTTTGTCTTTATAAAAGCAAAAATATGAAGGACTCTAAGACAACTTTTCTTCTGCAAGTTACTGGAATGAGGTAAGAGGCTAAATGTTTCACATTTATTTAGTAAATTTAATTCTAGAACACAATGAAATTTTGGGGGGAAATTCTATTTTAATTTAATCCTACACTTATGTTTTAAAGGTGACAGAAAACAATTTTGGAAAAATTTTTCTTTGTTTAATGAACATTACCAAATTTTTTCACCAAAAGGTCATTATTATTAACATGAGCAAAAATTTGAGGTAGCTAAAGCTAACACTCAAATTAAACAGGAAATTCCTTACCTATTTCTAGTAAATTTATCATTATTTCCAGAAATCAGGGGCTAAGTTTCCTAAATGCATATGTTAACTATTGTATTAATACTATTAAATTGATTACAATAATCTGAAAGGATGAAAGAAACTTAACTAACAACTTCTTTTCCTTCCTAGGTAGCAAATATTTCTAAATTTTATCTTTTTTATGCTAAAAAGTATTTGTCTTTATTAACTAGGAATAGATTTCCACCTAAATTATAATGGTATTGTATTAAAGATTGAGAAAACTGATCAATGACTGTTAAAGTCAGAAATGGAATTACTTCCTGCGAAAGTACAAGTAAGAATTATAAGGTACAAATGAGAACATTAATTCAAATCAAAATTAAACATCAGAGTTTCAAATCCACCAGTCTCTAAACTTATTTAGAACATGAATAGATCAAGATTTTCTTCTGTGAAAAAAGTATACATAAAAGTGAATGTACAGACTTTCACTAAGCAAAGCAGGAGGAATCTTCTGATATGCTTAATGGGGTCATCAAGTGTAACAGCAACTCCATGTGGACTGGGTACCAATTTCCAGTGGAGATGCTGTTACTTTTGATGGTTACCAACTCACTACAATATAAAGGCATATCCGAGAAAGACAGAAAATCATGGCAGCTGATTCTCATTTGATCAAGGAGGAAAAAAGATAACTTCTCATGCTATCTTTAAAAACTGACAAATACTTAAGAATTGACATCTGTTTTCTTAAACCAAATATTATGTCACATAAAGGACCCAACAATGGAAGAGGATTAGAGTCATCATTAAGAAATGGTATACAGGAAAATGACCTATGAATTGACAGACAATATGACTAAGTTTGTCTGTCATTTCTGTAGGCCAATATTCTGTATATCTCTGCTACTTCAACACCAGAAATCAACAAATACATGCAAGCAACACAATGGCAGATGCACAGAAAAGAATCTGTAACACAACCATGTAATATGTTGACTGTGAATAAAACATGAATGATACCTAATGAAAATGTGCTTGTGTTTCTCTGACAGCCCACATTTATTTTACCTAGGTTACTGACCAACTAACTTATGTACCATTTTATTGTTGTGATTAAACGATGGCCAAATAAGATAGTTTGCTCTACTTACTAACGTATACATATGGTTCACCTCAATTGCTTCAAGGAAATTCCCTAAAAATCTTTTTCTCTAAACACTGAAAAGAATGAGGAACAAGGGCAGTGCCTTATAAACCTTTCCTTAAAAGAAAACTTTCCAGTGTGGAATTTTACACAATACTTCTGTAAATTTATCTCAAATTTAATTCTTTTCTTTTCTTTTGCTGGGAGAGATTTGCCCTGAGCTAAGATCTGTTGCCAATCTTCCTCATTTTTTTCCTTCCTCCTCAAAGCTCCCAGTACATAGCTGTATATTCTAGTTGTAAGTCCTTCTACTTCTTCTATGTGAGCCACCACCACAGCATGGCTACTGACAGATTAGCGTTATGGTTTTGCCCCCAGGAACCAAACCCTGGCTGCCAAAGCAGAATGTGCTAAACTTTAACCACTAGGGCATCCAGGCTGGCCCTCAAATTTAATTCTTAATAGGTGTATTAAAATATTAGCAGCTTATATCTGACCAAGCTCTAAATTATAAGAACAACATAAGCAACAATATTTAGGCCAAAGAGTCTTTCTCAGCTCCAAACTGTAATGATATTACAATAGTCTTACAATGACTTCCTGGTTTCCAGCTTCTAGTTTCTTTTCCTAAAACATACTCTTACTCCTCATGCCTACTTAAAACTTCAAACTCCTTAGCTTGGTATTCAAGACTCACTACAATTTGCCCCAATCTTTCTTAGGTGTTTATCTTTCTATTCCCTTCCCACAACCTACAGTCCCATTATGGTTCCTATATACATATTATGCTTTCCCCTATCCAGGTCCTCAGCTCCTGCTGATCCCTCTGCTTGCAAAATACTTTCCCCCATTTCGTACCTAACCCTCTAGGCCCTAAATGCCACATCCTCTATGAATAAAGCAAATGAGCTGTTTTATGGTTCAATATTTGCCCAGGCAGAGCTTTTAGTTCTTCCTTCTGAGCCATGTTGCCATAAGGCGTCCAATCACCCATGAAGTAGTGATATAATGAAGAGTATTTCAAGTTGAAAAGGAACTTTCACACAAAGGATACTAAGAACTACCTAATACGTGGCTATAGGTGATTAAAAAACACCAAATTAACTGACATTAAAAAAAACCCTAAATACATGTATTCATAAAAGTACCACCTAAAGAAATACTGATAATGTTGACAATGAAAAGTAGAAGCTTTTTACAAAAATGATCGAACCCCAAGATAGGGATATTCAACTCTGTCTACAGTCTCTTGAACTCTCCATCACCTGCTGGCCTCCACGCCCTCCAAAACTTCACTGGATCCTCAACCAATGAAATGCGGAAATACTTATGAAAACGTGCTCAAACTCTCTGCTCACGTTATAGCATAATTTAGTAAAAATTCCATTAACAAAATTAAAACAAAATTACTCAAAGAAAATGAAAATCTAGGATATATTCCTAAAAGGAATGATTAAAATTCCCCTTTCCAAATCAGCAATAATACTCAAAGTCTCCCTATACAGAAGACAAACTAGCTAGATTACCGTCTCATTAAGAGCAGGTACCATGTCAGTCTTGTTGACGGCCTCAAAAAAGGGTCTAGAGTAAGATTTGAAAACAATTTTTTTACTCTATTAGCTTGTCTACTCTAAATTGTTCACTAGGTCCATGAATTATCTTTCTAAATTTTAAGAAAAACTTAAGGAAAAAAAGAATAAATAACTGGGAATATAATCATCACTAGAATAAATGTAATTATGTACATTCAACTATATTATAGTTTCTTAAATTTTTTTTTTTTGAGGAAAACTAGCCCTGAGCTGATATCTGCCACCAATCCTACTCTTTTTGCTAAGGAAGAGTGGCCCTGAGCTAACATCCGTGTCCATCTTCCTCTGTTTTATATGTGGGATGCCTGCCACAGCATGGCTTGACAAGCAGTGCATAGGTCTGCACCCAGGATCCAAACCGGGGAACCTTGGGCTGCTGAAGCCACGCACACAGACTTAACCACTACACCACTGGGCTGGCCCCAAATTTTAAAGTTATCTACACAACTGCATAATGCCATTTCTACTGAAAGGGAGAGTAGACTCAGAGTAAAAGAGTGACGCTAATTCCTCAAGAAAAATTACACTCTAGGCTCCGCCACTAAACCCTGTCCATCTCTGGGTTCCTGATACCTTACTCTAGCACACAAGGCTCCCAGCCAAAAACAGCGAATTCTCATTTAAAAAATCAGAGCTTTTCCTTCTAAGCATCAATATTGAAAAAAATCTAGTTTTTGTCAAAATGTCAACCATATAAAAGGATCTTTTCGAATTTTATTCCCCCCAAATTATTTTAGAGTATTTAATTTAACATATATTAGGAGTTCTTAACAGCCACTATTTTTCCATTTTTGAAAAAAATACAACTCACTTTAAAATGTGGAAAAATTTTAGAAAGAGTTTTACCTGTTAATCAAGAATTCATCTTTTGTCTTATGATGAAACACAGGAATTGGAACACCCCAAACTCTCTGTCTTGATATACACCAATAGGGCCGCCTGTCTAGCATTTCAACCATGGCATTCAGTGCTGCTCCAGGAATAAATTTCACTTTTTTTAATAATTCCTGCAATTGATTTAAGAATCAAGTCCAGTGAGAAAAAGCAGAACAAATTTTCTAGAACTGTCACTATTTATCCTAATACAGTTCTTTATTTTGGATGTTTATAGTCATTCATATGCCTCCCCCAAAAGAAACTAAACTAAGAAACTACAGATTTCACAGTAAACAAAGCAGAGTTAAAACAAGGCCACAAAAAATTCTAATAAATAACATCAAGAGCAGACTTGACCTTTGGAGAACGTGACAAGAGATTTTATAACAATTTCCAAGCACTCTAGATCAAAACTAGTAATAAGAGATTTAGTAGAAGTATTATACTTCATTAAATTACAGTCAAAATCCATCCAAATTTGATTTCAACAATTTTTTTTAAATGCTTGAAAAATAAGCTACTGTCTTAGGCTGACAAACAAGGAATGCAACATAACCTAATTTTACATAGTATGGTTTACAACATAGAACACACTTTCTCAAAATAATAGTTACTTCCTATTTACTTTTCTCTATCAAGAACTCTCCCTCCCTCCACCCACCAAAAAAGTTGTAAACTACTAGCAATTGATTTCATTCCATGTGTCAATTACCAAAAGAACTGTAGAGCAAGAATGTTTGATAATAATCTCCAAAAAGGCCAAAACACGTTAACTTCATTTAAAAAAATCTCTCTACCATTAATAAAAGCATTTTCTATTTTCAGGGCAGGTTTAAATCTTTTCCTTACTCACCTGAACTACAGAAATCCCTCCCCAAAGCCCTCTGTAGCACCACCTGCTGGCAGAATGGCATCACCTGCAGGTCATTTTGACTAACACTTGGTTTAACTATCCAAATGTAAATATTAACTGGATATTTGGTTTTATTAAGGAAAAACTATTTTTTTTTAAGGTGGTAATACTGGCACTGCAATTATGTTTTAAAGAGTCTTCATCTTTCAGGTATATTTATGGGAAACATAATGCCTGAAATTTGCTTCAAAATAGTCCAAAGGGTAGGAAGTGTAGATAATGGGTAGGTGTGGAAATAAAAATAAAATTGGCAAAAAGTTTATTGTTGAATTTGGGGGACGGAAACATAACAGCAGATTACTCTGTTCTCTCTAGTCCTTCAAGGAGCAATTGAAAATTATCTAGGAAGAAATTAAAAAAAGATTGTGGCTTCAGCATATTGCATCAGACTTAGATGTTCTGCAGCCAAGTATCTGTGCAGAGCTGGAAGTTACAAATTTTAACATCTACAAGTAAGGAAAATAAGCTTCATAAAAATGTAAAACGCAAAAAACAAAACCAGTCCAAATCACAGCTGTCCACTCTACATGAATACAAAAAACATAAATTGCTTGCATAGCTTTGGGAAGGGCCCCAGATTGCCAGGCCAACAAAAGAACTAACTAATTATGGTAACATTAGATGCAGGCTGTAAAGCAAAATGTTTTGTATATTCAGGCTGATTAAGAAACACATATTTGAGGTCTTTCATTCAACAGAATCAAGTCATTCGTGAGATACACAGATACATATATGTACTGAATGAAAGAGCTCAAATATAGATTAATATTTAGAACACCAGTTATAAAGTATTTGTTAACTCAAAGCAACAACTTTTCAGATGGATTGCAATTTCAATCTTAAGGAAGTAAAGAGTTCAATAAAAGAGATTTATTGAATGCCTATCATGCCCCAGACACTGTTCTGGGAACTTGTATTCACTTATCCCACAAGGTAGCATTATTATCACCTTTATATAGATAAGGAAACTGAGGTTCTGAGAGGTTAACCAACTTGCTAAACTCAGTTCTGTCCTAATTTTATGTTATTTTCATGACACTGGGCAGGAAATTTGGGAAGTCACTTAACCTCTTTAAGCCTGATTTTCCACATGCATATAACAAAGGAATGAAACCTAAGGTCCTTCCAGATCTAAAATTCTACAATTTTATGAAACCAAATCATAATAGCAGCAATCCCTTCCACTCCTGAAACCCCAAGTGACCTCACATGCAACCCTTTCATACTGAGGGAGTGATAAACCCCTTACAGCAGGACACCTTTATACCTTGGCTGTCGTCTTAACATCCGTGAGATTTACAAACCACTGCTTGCTAGCACGGATCACCACTGGTTTCTTGGTTCTCCAGTCATAAGGATAGCTGTGTACCAGTTTTTCCTCTTTCAA